TATATATATATATATATATATTCATGTACGCGCAGACCAGCCTGTACTTTACGTAAATAACGCATGCTGATCATTCATATTGCACCAATGATTCACCCGTGTAATACCCAACATACCGAGTCGCAAAATCACCCTTCTAAATTATACCGCTGGAAAAATAACTGTTTACATGGTGTTTACACACCGAAGTATATATATATATATATATACATATATACGTTGTGTATATGTACATATATATCCCGTACGGCGTTGTGACGACTTGATACTCGTCACAGTTTCGCCGACACGAAGCCGCCGGCCTGCGTTTCATCGTACTGCGCCACTGCTAGTCACTTTTTCAGCACATTGTTCGCCTCGGCGCGCTCCTCCTCCAGTTCCTTGGACGTGATATCCAGCTTCGACTTCGCGAAGCTGCTGATTGGAAGATTCTGGAAATTTAATTATGCAACATTCAGTACTTCTGTGTGTTGCTCTCGACAAATTCTGTAAACATGTATGTTTATAAGAAGTAAGAGTAAGGCATTAGCCAATCACAGTCGATCATTCTCCTTACATTCGAGTATGATTGGTCAATTTCTTATTCTTACTTCGTATGAAATATATTCTTATCGACCATTGTAGATTACACTTAAATGTTACTAACGTTTGTTCTTGATCGTTTTAGTGCGGGAGGGGGATCTTCAGAGAGCACATTGTTGTTCGTGAAAACACGAGTCACAGGAGGGAGAGAAACGGAAAGGAGGCGTTTGGAATCTGAAGTATTCGTGCGTTCGGGCCTAATCACTGCGCCGTGATAGCTTACCTGTACGATTTCGTATCGCTTGTCTTTGATAACGACAGGGAAGGAGAAGACGATGTCTTTTGGGATCCCGTAACTCCCGTCGGACACGACGCCCATGCTCACCCACTCGCCGGCTTTGGTGCCGAACCACCAGTCTCTCATATGGTCGCCGGCAGCTTTCGCGGCGGACATAGCGGACGACATTTTCCTGGCGGCTATCACGGCGGCGCCGCGCTTCTGAATCGTCTCTACGAAAGTCTTGTTCAACCATTCGTCGTCGTTGATCTCAGACAGGACGGGCTTCACGTCGAGTGATCGCGCTACGGTCGCATGCGCTGCGTCCGGGTATTGCGTGGAACTATGATTCCCCCAGATAATGACGTTCTTCACGTTATCGACCTGTCGCGTTAATAAGATTATGTAGTAACACTCACTTGCCAGGCACGATAGTAGTCAAGCGAAATATTCTCTGATTTGGTACGGAAATAAAATATAACAAGAGAAATATGAATTAATAAAATAATAAATATTATATATTTGTATATTTATTACATTAACACTTATGTATTTCTCTTATATATTTGTTTACTTATATTTGTTTATCAATTCATATTTCTCTCGTCATATTTATTTATTTTTATTACCGTATAAATCAGAGAGGACACTTTATATTGGACTTAATAAAACAAAGTGCATCGTCAGGGGTAAAGGACGGCTTAAAATATAGAGCCAAAGATGTACATTGTTGCCGACATGTCATCTTGAGGAGAAAAACGAATCAAATCGTATGCTTACGTTACCTGTACACTTAATCGTGCGGCTAACGCTGCCTGCGCTCTGTTCTGATCCAATCTGGTCATAGCAGTGAAGTTTTCTTTCGGGATCGAAGGCGCGTAGTGCGAACAGATGAGCGCGTTGGTGTTAGCAGGGTTGCCTACGACCAGCACCTTGACATCCTTACGAGCGAACTTGTCTAACGCCTCGCCCTGCACCTTGAAAATCTCCACATTCGCAGCCAAAAGATCCTTACGTTCCATTCCTTCTTTCCGTGGCATCGCGCCAACCAAAAAGGCGGCCGCTACGTTATCAAAGGCTTTGGCGGGCTCGGCCGTTGGCAGAACCTCTGCAAATTTCAGCCGAGTCGTATAAACGCAATTCGCTGTCACATGGCAATTATACAACATACTCTAAACTTGGACTTTCAACTACACACGCACAAATTAGACGAATGTGTATTATCGAGATATTCGAGAACGCTCAAGAAGTCTGGACTATTGCCTCTATTTGTAATTTATTAACGCGGATGGCAATCGCTTTCGAATCATAAATTTGCTTTACTGAATTACGACGGGTTTAATCGAGTGAAAGATCATTTACGCGTTGATAGTGAGTTGCGAGGATCATCCACGCGATTTTCTCGTTTGCCGTCGTGTAAACAAGAATGACGCGACTGGCTAATATCGGTGATCTTTAAATACCGCTGACAATCAAGCATCAAATTAATCTTACACCAGAGCCAATTCAAAATTAACATTTGCAGCCCCAAGTCGCAATTCGTTTGTTAGTTCGATTCTTCGAAATTGTTAAACGTTATAATAACTCTGTTGGCTGCACCGGAAAAGAAAAGAAAGAAAACAGAGACATTTTTTTATTTCAATTCGGTCCTGGAATCTTTACTCCAGGAAGAAAATTCTAAAACCTTCAAGTTTATTCTTAATGCTTTTTTTAACGATTACCCTCACGGGAACATTTTACTGAAAGTATCACGAATTCGATGAAAAATGAAATGAAACTTATTGGAAAATTATTGAGTATGTGTAAAAGGGAATTTTCCGTAATGAATTATTTTCCTTATGAAATGCAATGTAATACTGCGAAATGTAAAGAAGTTAAAGTATACTGTTGAAAAGTAATAAAAACATTTCGATAGGTATAAAATTAATAGGTATAACATTTACTGAAAAAATCTAAGAACTGACTTTTTAAAGAAAAATTGAAATATCGATGGAGATAATATTTTATTAAAATATTGATGAGGTAATAATGAAATGGGTCAACTGAGAGAGATTTTCAACTACATTTCAGTAAATTTTCACTACATTTTCAATAAAATATTTCCACCACGATATTTATAATTTATACAAAGGCATACGATAATTATACTCAATAAATAAAAATCCATAAGTCATTCAAAAATTATATTTGCATATGCATATGTTTCTAATTTAATTTTCAGATGTAAGATTACATAACGCATGCATACGTACATACATACACACCTTCTTTTATTACCTACCATGTAACAAAGGAAGTGCCAAGTCCTCCAATTCCATAACTACACCGTCCAACACCTTCATCATAACTGGAATATCCAGTAAACGCAGATTGACGGGTTGTTCGGGGCCAAAAACTGTACCAGCAGCAATCTGGTACAGTAGAGAATAAGCGATTTGCCCGGCAGCACCGGTAACCACAACATTTATAGGTTCGGCCTGATAAAAAAAAAACCCATAAAACAGTTATCTTTTATTAATAATTATCTCCTTCTAAAATGTACCATATTGCGTTAAAAAATACACAGATTTCCTGTCACAATTATATTATTTAGACGAGGAAATTATGTATATATCGGTACACCATCATATCTTATAATTATTAACGCTCGAAGAACGAAGAAAAATAAAAATTCTGACTAATTTCGATATCATAAACATTTTAATATATTCCAGAATATTATTTATTCCACAAAAACAAGTAGTAGACCTCGTCGAGCTGCAAAATAATTAGAGGCATACGCGCGAGTTTTACAATTAAATTGATTTGAAAAAGCAGAATTCTAATTGAAGGTCGAACAGAGGTTAAACCAGAGATAAGTTCCGGCGAGATAACGATTATAACTCGAATCATGCCCAAATCGACAAAAATCATACATCATCACCAAAAACTCACCATTTTCCCCGCAATAAGTTCGATGTCAACGAACGACAAGAAAAAATGTCTCGATATTTGCTCGGAATGTTACACGATCGGTCGACGGGACGAATGGCGTAATCGAGTCTTCGATACTCCTCGCACTCTTTCGACTGGAATTCGTCTGGAAATATACATTTAAACCGTTCGACCGCGGAGTATGCAGACTTTCGAAGACGACGTCATCTGTTACGCCTCCGCGCCGATTGCAGCGCCCTCGACCGTAGCTCAATTAAACCCCGCTTTACATCTCGGACAAAGTTGTTGACCGAATGTGAAAATTACTAGAAATTACTAAAAATTCTAGTACGTATCGACCACCTACCAAGATAAATACTAGGTCTCGATCCAACATCCAGTATCGTGGACACAAGTCCTTGGTTTGAATTAGTTTTTTATTATTTCATTTTGATTAATTTTAATTTTACCTTTTAATTTTCTTCATTTCTTATTTCTTCCTCTTTCCTCTCATCTTTTTACTATTTTCATTATTATTTCTTTTTTAAGATTCTTTATCATTATTGGTTAATTAAATGTTTACTCTACCTGTCGAGCGGAGTTCTCGAATGCAGCCCTGAAGAAGCCGCACTTTCTGGTGGGTTGCGGAACACCGTGGAAACACTAAACTGTTCCGAAAAGCACGAGCTTGGGACAGTTGATTGTTGAAGGTGCAACTGTTGGCCACCGTGCACCGGATCTTCCATTCTTCGGGTCTTTCGTTTCCTGTGGATCATGGTGAGTGAACCGTGCACGTTTTCGTCTCGCGAATCATCGAAAATTCTAACGCGTACGATCAGATGTATCTTCCCGTGGCGAATTCCGTCCATCCTCATGATTACGTTCATCGTTTTCGGTTGCCCGACCGCCTTGTACCTCGAACATACGCGCCACATAACCTCCTCGCCGCGTGAACGCTTCTCAGCCACATGGTGCGTGTTGTAGACCCTTCGCTCGACGTTTGTCGCTACGAAAGCACTGCTTGGTGCGATATTGTTCTTCAATAGATAAATCGCGTTCCTGAGCCACTCACGTGGAGGAATCCGAAAAAACACGTTAAATCGAATTTATCATGTTCGTCCAAATTCTAACTCCACGTCGACTTGAGATCGGATCGAAACTTAGTCGGATCTGTTCAGTCAGATTCGTTGGGCGAGTCCTTAGAAGTTCAATTCGAACGAAAACCCTCTTTGAATTCCACAAATGCAGTGTCTCTCCGTTTTGTGAAGGCGTCGTTACAATTCTTAGGTTATGTCAATACCGTTGTAGTACGTTACATTGTACCAAAATATATCTTGGAATTCATCATTTGTAAAGGAAGGAATCAGTGCGTTAATAATAACCGATATCTTCTTTTGCAGCCGTTTCAAAGGTTTGTTCAGTCGGGCCGTGTGGCCTATGTGAGTGATGGCATTCACCAGGGCAAGCTGGTGGCTATTGTCGACATTATTGACCAGAACCGAGTAAGAACAATATATTATAATATATTACTATAATATACAAATACATATGATACATAATTATACATTATTGTATAATGATACTATATTATTCATATTATTCATTTACTAATATATATCTATTATACATATTTTAAGATTGATATTCACAGTTGGATCTTACATATAAAACCATCTTAAGTTTATCTTCAAATGTTTCGTAGCCAATGAAATGTGCCGTATAGTATTTGAAGATGAACTTAAGACAGTCTTATATGTAAGATCTGACTACAAATACTGGCCTAAGAGAAAACTTGTTATTTGAAAGAAACTGGAGCTAAAAAACTCATATATATATATATATATATATATGAAGCACATATAAATATATTTGAATTTTCATATGCTACAAACTTTTCATTTATATGTGATTCAAATGATGATACAATTACTTGATAGGAATTGCCGGCTGAATCCGCTGATGCTAACAAACCTCTCTGAGAACGATCAATGCTCGTTCTCAACAAGTCCTTACTATGATTACTTCGCTAAATTTTCGTTTTAAATTCTCCCTTTCAGGTCCTGGTGGACGGCCCATCATGTAATGTGCCTCGCTGCGAGATGAGGCTCAACGATCTTCACCTAACTAAATTCCGCCTGCGTTTCCCATATTCCGGATGCACCCGAGTCGTGCGTAAAGCGTGGCAAGCGGGTAACATCGACGAACTGTGGAAACAGACGATGTGGGCCAGGAAAGTTGAGGCCAAGAAGAAGGTGAGTGTGTTCAGCAGTTCATCGATTGTACTAAGGTCCCTGGCCTCTCGCCGGCCATCTTAAATTGTGATGTCACAAGCGTGAAGATACACGTTTAAGATTCTTGCGAAGTGCAGTAGAATAAAAAGATATGTCCATAAAATAATTTTTGCGATTGACCGAGCGTTTTTTTTTTTTTTTTGAAATACTTCGAGGACTTGTTTTGCCCGAATAAATGATTAAATAGCTATAAATTTAATGTAACAATGTGACTCACAGTTTCCAAGTACTTGTTACAATCTAAGATAGCTAAGGAGAATGAGAAAAAGAAAATTTATCTTGACGATGATCTTATATATTGAACTTTTATATCTTTAATAAATGAAATACTTCAGTATTTTATGTTAGATATTATGGTGAAAATACGTTCTTTTCCTTCATTTCAGCGTGCGGAACTTAGTGATTTTGACCGCTTCAAGTTGAGGAAAGCCAGACAGATGAGGAACAGAATGCGAACAGAGGCATTCTACAAGTTAAAGAAAGCCAAGAAGGCTAAAACCAGCGATGCAAAAAAAGGCAAAAAACAAGCTGAAAAGTAATCATTTTAATTAAATATAAAATTATTTCACAAAAAGATCTCATTATTTATACCTCTCGCATGTCATGGGAAATTGTTGATGGAGAAGCTATTTGCTTTCTTTAACAATTTTATGTAATATTTAAATGACCAATAATACAATGATATCAAAAACTCATCATAATAATAGTAAAAGGATCACAGAGTTAGGATACGTTAAAATGTTTAGCAATATTTAATACATTTTTCACAATAGGTTTTTTTAAGTTTTGAGAAGATGGGGTTGGAGAATTAATTTTTTGCAGATGTTTTTTTATTGCTTACGCGATATACAGGATGTTGAGGAAGAATACAAAAAATAAAGAACGATAATATTGCTTGGAAACTAAAATCTTTTACTGATATCATTTATCTACATACGTTGCATTATAGCTCTATCACCAATTAATATAAAATATAAACACAGATCTGGAATGAATTAACGAGCGTGTGAAACATTTTTATTAAATAAAAAGCATTCCGTTTCATTGTCTGCTTAAAAGTTAAATTGAAATAATTCACAATCTAAATTACATGATTGCAATGTCTCTCTCTTTCTTTGATATTTCACTTGCTTTATATTGACATTTTCCAAATTTATTGTGATTTCCATCGTAAGCCTTATATTTACAAATTCGATTTTAGCTTACCTATTTTGCATTTCCCAAATATTTTTTATTATATTATCAAACATTATATGATAAATGAACGTTTATCATAACATATACTGTGAATATATAAATAATGATTTATTAATTCACGCTGTAGATGATACAGCTAATTTCTTCAGATGCTCCATGAATATTTGCAAACTGACGTCATCGGTCAAGACAGGAGCACCGCTTTCCTAAAAAAAAAAAGAATACAATGATTTTAACGACGACAGAACATGTGGAAATATGATAATTGTGGCTTTCAATGTCCTGCATCTTTGCAGAAATCGGAGCAGTGTGTATGATATTAATTTTTTAGAAACAACTTCTCTCAATGAAGTTCTAATTGACACTTAGTATTGCATTAGCATAAGCAGATTTATTTTGAATTATAATTTGACCCAAAAATTATCTAGATTTATGTCAAAAGAGTTGTCTACAAGATATTTCGTGGTAAATCGAGGACATGCCACGGATTTTAGTTAAGATAAATTTTGCGGAGGTCAACTTTTGATATCTACCACCACCAGATGTAAGCTCGAGAGTGCAATCATTTCTGTAAACTGTGCAGAATTATAATACCATCTCGTGTGACAAACACCTGTAAAAATTAGCAAGGCCCAAACTTCAGTATCGTTACAAAGTTTAGGTGTATTTACGCATCGTAGAAAAATTGCTCAAAGTTTGCTCTTTCGAATAATTTATCTTGATTGAACGTATGCCGCGTTATTTTTATTCAACGCAAGAAAATCAACGGGATAACCAATGAAAGTTAATTCAAGTGTCGGTAACGCCAAAATTTGGACGTGAAGAAACAGCGTTTCAGGAACTATTGTTAGGTGTGTATTTATTGGTCTGTTCTTTTTAGCTGAATCGGTTGCACCAGTTCAAGAAATTTACATAAACATTGAAGCGCTTCTGTGCGTGTCTAAACGTTTCGAGTTCTTAGTGCAATTGGTTCATTTTAAAAGAACGGACCATGTAAATGGACCCAATGCGCGCGATGACGTTTAAATGTTTCCTACGGTGTTCTTACAAAACCGAATAACTCAATCGTCTGAAATCTAGGTAAGGATAACGAGATAAGTTCTAAAACGGAAGAGTCGTGTTTTCGTCAATATTGATGCTGTTACCCCTGAGTCAACCCGATCACCAAAGAAGCTAAGTAAAGAGAAAGGAGGAGAGATAGAAGAAAAAGATAGATAAATAAATAAATATGTAAATAAAGTAACACACCCCATTGGGTATCGGCATCCCCTAGTTCACAGGATCATGGCGACATAAAAAAAATATTAGTTACAGATGATACGAAATTCACATGAATATTTATACGAATTGTCCTAAATTATCACGTAACGTTCTTTAGTTGCAACTTTTGTTCATTAATTTGGAGAAAAAAAATAAGAGAGTCAAGTTTTATGTAACACAAATCTGACGAAACACTCAAACGGCAAATTGGCATCAAATTAACCGAAGAATCTGAACTCGAAAGATGCCTCCTGGAGACTGTCAATCTTCAGTGAAAACTATAGAAAAATAAAATAAAAAAATATCTATATACGTATTTTTGTTTTACTTACCGCGCCATAAGCATACATATTATTGTGAGTTTGGCTCGGATTAACTTTGCTCAGTAGGAATCTAGCTTGAGATCCTCCCTGTTCCGTATCGATATAACGCGGCGCGGGAAATCTGCCGGCTAATATCTCGGCCGCGTCATCAACGGGCGCCGCCAATAACTGCCGGAAGTTCTCGTACTCCGGCAGATCCTGATACTTCGATTGTCGCCACTGCGCGATAGTCTGCAGAAAAGAAAAAAATTAAGTAGAAGACCAAATTACACTCGTTCATCGAACAGCCCAGTCTAATTGAAGCGGCCCGGTTACCTCTCCGTGGAATATGAGTATCTGGAAGAACGTGTCCATCAACAGAATTCTCTCGGCTTGAATGGACGAGGTATCTAGTAATACGGGTTCCGGGGGCCCGTTGAATCCATAACTGTACAAGATCGGTTGAACCATGATTAAGGAATTCGTCAAATCCTCGCGCATAAGCATATGCCTGGAAGATAAACGAGAGACGTGTGATAAGAGAGGTACTAAATTTTTAACGTTTGAGAATACATGAATATTTCTCGATTTGTTTTTTATATTTAACATGAATTATATATATATATAATTCTATTTCTTTTTCATTTATTTGTAAACCAAAGGATACTTCCCGTTTAAATAAATAAATAAACAATCGTTCTCCTCGGCTTCGCTTACGCGAGGAAGCAAGAGTTGCCTCACCTGTAGAAACTGGTCTCATCGGGCGAATTGTTAAACACTTGTAAAAACTGCGATCTACGCAAGTGATACATGAATTGCGGGTACAAGGAGAAGTTCTCCGCCAATCTGAAGCTATTGGGATCGTCCTTAGTGTACTCCCCGAACTTTTGGCACTGCAAAGACGGAAGTTTCATACCTCAGAATGTACAAGGCACGCGTGTACAATCCGCCTACCCGACTACGAAATATATACTAACAAGTCTGATCAGCATACGGTCGACCCATCTCAGCACATCCGGCCCGTCATCGCTTTCCGCTCGGAATACAGCCAAGCGTGACATGAGAACGGCCGCCGCCTCCTGGTCGAATCCCGCGCTCACATGGTGCACAGACGACGACACGTCCGCCCAACTGGAGCGAAAAACATGGTGACGCGAGCGAACGTTTTGTACGTGACGATTAAAAATGATAGCATGCGAGTAGGCATGAATGCTTACTTCCTCGCGACAGTGGTGACTCGGATCCTCCTCTGGCCGCTGCTGTGTTGGTACTGAGTGATGAACTGAATGCAGCCCCTTCCACCCTGCGGGATGGGCGCGGTGTGTTGGTTCACAACCTCGAAGAAGAGTGCCGTGGTCGTGGACGGCGTCAAGGAACAGAACTTCCACTGACACGTACCGCCCAGGCCTACTTCCTGTTCTCCGACGCTGGCCCCCTTCACTCCCAAGGACACGCAGGGCCCGATCGCACCGGAGACCTTGATCTCCCGCGACGTCTTCACCTCCAAAGTGGCATTGAATGCCATCTTCAAGTCGCCCTTAGAGTCCTTAGCGAACACCCGCTGGAAGGTTTGCTTGAACAGGGACGAGTTGAACGAGTCCCCCATCACCATGTGGCCGCCGGTGGAGTTGCAGCACTGTCGCATCTCCAGCAGCCCGGTCTGGTCGAGGGCGCAGGAATAGATGTCAATGATGTGGCCGTTGGCAGCGGCGCGTGACGCCAGCGCGTCGTAGTGCTTGGTCGCCTTCTTCATGTGCTTGGCGTTGTCTTTCTGGATGTCATGGTGCGACCTGATCGGTTGCCGCAGATCGTCGGTCACCACCTGGCCGGGTCCTTGAGAACACGGCCCTCCGAGGAACAGCATAATTCTTAAACAACACAAATGAAATGACTTCTTCCGATCCATCCAATTCGATTCTCCTGCTTCTTTCTTTTTGATGCTTCCCACGCATCGATAATTTTGAGTATGAGTTTAACGAGCGAACAGAGACCCTTTTCCGGGTGTCCGATGCAATCGGACGCTGTTTTATGTAAATACCTAGCGCCGGTGTTCGCGTAGCTAGCTTCCAAGAGACCGGTGGCGACGGCTAACGCCACACCGGTGGATCTCAAAGGGCGTTTCCCCGGCCCGACAGGCCACGGGTCGCGCTGCAGCTCTCCGAGAAGATCCGTCAGGTTCATGTCGCACTTGTGCACAGGCTGCAAGAAGCGATTGGCCGGCGGCAGCGGTTGCGTGCCGGGTCCTCTCGGCTGGCTTGGATTCTGTCCAGGAGTCGGTCTACCTATACCTGCGAAGTGCGAGCGAGGCGCGATTAAAGAAGGTCGTAATCGGCACGAGCGCACGTGGGCGTGAGTGAATTAAAACTTAACTTTTACCTAGCATATCCTGAACCTGCTTCGGTTGCAGATCCTTCGTGCCGCGGAATACGTAACTCTTGCTGCAACCATCGCATCCTAACTCGTGAACCTGGACCATCCTGCCGAACGTGATGAGGCCGATCAGAGCGTTGGGTGGAAGCAGGGACAAAGACATTTGCAGGGAATCCTTCAGCGCTCCCAGTTCCTCGTCGTCCATACACGTATCCACGACGAGCAGGAATATCGGTGGTAAACATTGAGCGCGCTAATAAATAACGAGAACGGCACCGAGTGTAAATTCGTTGGAATTATCGGAATCGTTAGATCCTGCAGGGAGCGATAATTAGCGGTCGCTAATGTGCTTCCGATGGAGATGAACGTATATTTGTATTCATGTATACAGGATGTTCCAATATAAGAACACCTAAATATCTCTTTGGTTTTTAACGATGAGAAATGTTTCGAGCACAATTTGAGTGGTTTCGAAGGAGGAACACCGCTGTGAAAGGTTTTTCTTTACGAAAGATTTACGTGAAAGATTTTTCTTTACGGTCATTTTTTTTCGATTTCTCTTTTAAGGCTCTCATATATTTGTAGATATATTATTGTAATATATATACATATTATTTTTAAGATCTCAATCAGATCCCCAAGATATTCAGGTATTCTCCTTATGCTGGGACATCCTGAATATTATTCTAAGCATTTGCTGTGATAAATGAAACCAAACATAATAGTTCACTGTTTCCTTCTGTTTTGTGTCTACAGTTCACACCGCTCACCATTATCGTGTATTCGATTGTTGAAAACATCGGTATAAGTTCTGCTGGCTGATGCTGCTCTGAAATCGCAGCATATTGTGATGGGAACTGAAATAATACATAGGCATACATATATTGAATATTCATACATTACTTTTATGTATATATATATATATATAATATACATATATGATATACAGATTTTGCAATTGATAACAGAATTCCTGTCTTACGGGATTTCTCTGGAAGCAGAGGTTGCAGACCCATAACTTGGCACGATAGTCCACTTGGCATAACGGATTTAGGATAGCCCTGCAGGTGGATCTTGTACACAAGACAGGATCGTACTGAATCGGCGGAAGATCCACTCGTTCTTTGATTGGTTGATACAAAGTACCCAGCGGCACGACGAGTCTGGTAGCATCGACGCGCGACGACGGCCAGACGTTCCATGTGAAACGCACGCCGTCACGATCCTCATTCTGTTGGATAAAGTCTTCGTAGGTCGTCATAGTGCTGAAACGTGACAAATAAGTAACCCATATAAATTCCCTAACGCCCTGCAAACGTACATTTTCTACACCACGTCACCGAAGTTTCACGATACGGTCGACCTTTCGCCGGACTTGACACACCTACTATCCTCTCTGTACAATTGTCTCTCATTTTTTTTTTTTTATATAAAGCACAGAAAGTTCGTATTGTCACAGGTTAGTTGTAAATTATCGTGAGCATACGTACAGTCGTTCTCACTGAGGAGAACTTCAAGTCGGTCAGCGCTGTGACGTTCGCCGTATACGAAGATACTAAGACAGCGTTCACCTGTCCATTTCACCGTATAACATTATTTACGGGAGAAACCGGAAAAATCGGCAGAGGCTAAGTAACGATCCTCCGTCACCGAGCCACGTCACGTTGAAAGAGGAGACGCATGCGTGGAACCTCCTTCGTGTCAAGAAAATCGGGTCTCCGCTCCGTGAGATGTAACTGAGAAAGGAACATCCGGGAGATAACCAGGCCAAGGTTCTCGTCGCGCGCTCTGGCGGAGCAACGATCGAAGCTACACTCCGGCGTCCTTTCGCGCCATCTTCGATCTCGCTCCATTCAAATCGTTCAATTTCAAACGTACGTTGCGATTATGCAGAGGGATCACGATGGAACGTTTGAATAAGCTCTTGCCGTACCACGTCCAGGCCAGGAAAGTCAGGTTGTCGTACGTCGACGAGTTGTTCCCGGACCTCAAGGACGATCCTTATATCGTTCTTCACAAAAACGTGAGCGAGTGCGAGGATACGTACAATTCTCCTCTGCGCGATCTCGATCGATGCATGATCTCTAATGACGCGACCGTCTGCTCCAGGTGCCCGACACATCGCAATCCGCCGGCCACAACAGGGAAAACAGGGAGAAAAGTTTCAACGATTACTCCGCAAGTAATAAACATTCGCGTGTATCTAAGGATCTGAGAATCATTTGTGTGCAGTTTCATTGGAAATATGTGGAAGTCTGAAATGCTGAATGCTCCTCAGGACACGATGTCAGTGGCTCGCCCTTGGAATACTCATTCGGCATCTGCGGGTTCGACGACACGATCCTTACAACAAGACATAACTGGAGGAAGGAGGAGGAGTCCTATTTGCCGTTGAGTAGAAATGATGCGTGGTATGTGTGAAGATCTCCGCTGTTGTAACAGATATATTTTTTGAAGTAATTGGGTAACTGGAAGTGTAAGTAGATGTGAATATAAATTTGAGATGAACGATTAAATATGGATATATTTATTTATATGTATTCTGTGAAAACATATCTGGATGTACTTCACAAATTATATATTCTCATAATATATGTATCTGTCTAATTATCTTAAATTTATATCTGTATCTACTTATATTTCTCCTTTGGCATATATATACTTCAAAAAAATATATTTGTTAACACTGCTAATTCCTAAGATACTTTTAATCCATAGTGACATAAGTATCTCTTCAGCAATGCGTTGAACGTGTATCTAGAACATTTCGATGGCAATACTTTGCCAGTGTTAGCTCTTTGTGATGGGAAAGATCCCAGACAAAGCAAGCTTATCGGCAGCATTGTCCGTGATAACTGGTTCACTACATTAGAAGCAGTCTCTGTCGGTGTAGTGCCGCAGGCTACAGTAAGAAGTAAATACCCCAAACTTATACAGGAGCATCTTAAGCTTTCAGGCATGCAAGAGCATGATGTACGTAATAGGTAATGAGTATGTCGGTTTTTAATATCAGGGGCTTTACTAAGTGTCGATTTGTTTAGATCAAAATGTCTGTATTTAATACCTTCGATTTGTTCGGTGTCAAGCAAGAAAGAATTGATTGGGATAAGATTGCCAGGAGCGACTTTGAAGGAAATATTGACATCGAAATGCATTCGAGTAGCTTGGTGTTAAATCCGAGATTGTCGAAGAATACACTGGTATGTGTATGTAAAAGATGTATAAATTATTATATTATATAATATATATAATATTTAGGATTGGGTAATGACTTGATAATTCAGTTGAAAGTTTAAGAGTTAATAACTTTTAACTCAACTTGGTTGAGTTTAAATGAGTTGACTTTTAATTTAGACTTAGTTACTTTTTATCCATCAACTTTAATTTATTTACCTCTTTTTAGTTAAGTTAAAATACTTTTCATATAGCTTTGCATAATTAATTTTTAACTTTATTTTTATTTTTTTATCTTTAGTAAGGCTAATTTCATTTTAATCAGACTCTTAATTGAGTTAGTATTTTATTTGTGTAAACGTAACGTAAATCTGGTTAATTTATAGCGATAAATTTTTAACTTAATTTAGTTAAAAAGAAATTTACCCAACCCTGGTTATATTATATCACATATAATACGATAAAAATATATATCTAATAAATTTATTATATTATATATTTTATATTATATATCATTGCATACTTAACAATCATATTTGTTATCACTTAAGAAATACATTTTTCTACAGTTGGTTCAAGTAAATACTGCCTGGAAAGACAGTCTTTTGAAGGAGCAGCGGTCTCAGTTACTCTTGTTGAGTCAATATTTACTGATAATAGATGAGTATCAGAAGAACAGTGGACAGCAAAACTCAGTAAAATTTACAACGCCATATTTAGAGGTAAATTGATACTTCTATGTTTTTGTAAAAAATACATCTTACATAATTATATTATATAATTATATATATACATAATTATATTTTCCATATTTCTTTTTGAACTATATACACACACCCATATTGTAGAAATACGAAGCAGTAGCCGAGAAATTGAATCTTTTGCTGAACGGTGATATCAATTTCCGGAAATCCAATAACATCAATATCAAGGGAGTCGACTGTAAAAAGAAGGAAAACATCGAGATGGACGCGAAGCTGTCGGAACGCGTGCAAAACGTGTCTTTGAGGCACGACATGGATTTCACCGATCACCTGTGGAAGATACTTATAGGTGAGTGAATCTCCTACGAGCGGAGCTCGTCAGATCATAGAATTCCTGAATCGTGATTCACGTGGCAGGGGGGAGGATTTATACAACGCTACATAATTAGAAAACCTGTGACATATTGTGTTTGTTTTTGTGCCGCATTGCTCGCGTGCTAGAAACACTACGTTCTGATTGGTACATTTCTGGAAATCACGTGAATCACCACCCAGTAAACAAAGAAATCATCAACACAACGTCATTACAACGATACTTTATAACATACTTTATAACATGTAACATTTTCAAATAAGTAGTTCTTAATGTTGTACAGAACGTCATTGTTAACAATGTTTGACCCGAACGTTTAAAAATAATATTTCTATGTATATTTATACTCTATATATATTTTCATTTTATAATTAAAAAATTTCGATTTAACTCTATTTACTTAGTCAACCGCAAATTAATATATATTTTACGCATTTCCGACTAATTATACATCTTTCTCTCGATATACAAAGCGACCTCGGAGTACCCGCAGATGACAAGCCTCGTCGAAACGATTCTTATGGAGATTCTCGAGCACCGATTCGTGCCACAGGTAATCCACCGAGAGAAATCCACCCTCGTCTCGATGACGATGTAACTGCCGAGATTAATTCACTATGTGAATGTCACTACATGTTAGGCCAACGACACGAACTCGACGAGGATAATGAAGGTTGCGTCCGACATGCGTGGCCAAGAGATCACGTCTTTCATCAGCTGTTTACTGCTAGGCAGCGCGCCGTTGGAGCTCGTCGTGGACGCCGGCTTCGAGAAGCTCGCCCGGGATTACTTGTACATCCTGAGGGGAGCGCGATTGGTCGATGCGTACGACATCCGGCGGAAGTTGGCCAACGTGTCGTCCGGGGTCTTCAGCACGGAGAGCTACAGGTGAGCGAGTTGCACTAAATCAAGCGGATCGAATTCCCAGTGAACTCGCGTGGTGGTGACGACTGTATCGAACCTGAATCGCAGGAAGGGCTTGCTCACGTTGGCACAAATTCACATCAGTTTGGAATGCATGCTGCTCATCGAGACGCACCTGGAATGCCCGGCCGAAAGCTTGCAGAGCGTGTTCGCCCACGTGTACAAGGAGTTCCTCTCGGAGCTCTCGTCCCCGCTACACCACCACGCCGAACTCTGCGGCCGAGTTTACGCCTTGACGGTGCCGCTCCCGGCCGCGATAGTCAGCGAGTTAAATATTCTAAAGACGTACGTAAACCTAATCTAAGTATCATAAAGTTGACTTGACGAACGGAGTCGATATACAGAGAGTGTTTCTCGCAATCCGCCTCGTCTGCTTAGAGATCCTACCGTGTGGAGAGCCGCCCTCTCGTCTCATTCCGCCGCATCGACGTTAACCACTACCATGTATTACAGCAAAACGCCTATTTTCCCGACGAACGTTTATCCTACAGGTAAAGTAAACGATAGAAATCGTTTAAGATGGATTTACTAATGGGTGTGGTAAGCAAGTGTTCCATTGCTCGCTTGCAGACGACGCGGCTACACAGAAGGAGACGGTTCACGGTGTGAGCGCCACGTCGTCGTCGTCGAGGTACAAAAAGCTGTGAGTGTACGCGCGCTCAAGCAGCAGATGCGGTGTTCGCCGAGCAAAACTGAACGAAACTTCAGAATTGGTGCGAATGAACGGGACGCAGTGCGAGGTAATGAAACGTTTAATTGATCAATCAAATCAAATAAAAATTATAAGAGTTATCCTTCAAATACATTACATGTATTATAGATATACATATATATATATATAAATATAAACTACATTTATGAGTGTTTGTACTCTCAGTCATTGACAATTATACACTCGAGCATGCTATTAGTCCATCCTCCGTCCGACACAAACCATTTGTTATAAATATTCTATTGCAAAGTTTACTTCTCCGTCCCTTCCTCTTTTTTTTTTTTCTTTCTCGTTTTTTCTCCCCTCCTCAAGAATCGCGTGTTCAATGTACAAAATTTACGCGTCACGTCGTAGATAAGATTTATCGTAACTTTTAAATATGTCGCATTTAAAAAATTTCTCGTCAAATTCGGAATGAATTTTCGTGCGGGCGGCGTGTTTTAAAATGATCTCGACCGTTTACATAACCGATAAACTTTTTACACTTATATATATATAATTTTTTTTTCTTTTCATACAGCTAAAACGCTACCGTAGAGAATAAATTTGCGTTCCAATCTCCCGTCTCAACATACTTTGGCTGCTCTCCTCCGGACGAATCCATCGCTCTGTCAAAAATGATAAAACCTCCATCCCTCTCTCCCCTCTTCTCATAATAAGCCACTAAAAAACGAAGCATGGCTTTCTATGTATACCGTAAGTACACCAGTTTCTCGATAGCGATAAGACGCGCAGGCAGGGTTGGATTTATAAGGCATTACTCTTCTCTACATCGTCTTGAATACTAAGACGCGTCCGCGTCGTCCATCCCGGAGACGCTGGCTTGCTCTAGAACCTCGAGCAGCTTCTGCATCTCCATCGAGTCGGACGAGTTGTCCAGCGTCTTCTCCAGAGCCCGCACGTACGACATGCACGTGCGGCCCTCGTGATCGAGATTCTGCGGGTTCGCTTTGTGCTGCAAAGTTCCCAACGAGCATGTTATAGTACACGGTGGAGGGACCACTATGTGGTCATGTAAAGCCCGTATCACACTACAAACGGCACTCGGAGTCAGATCTTGTATTTGAGATCGTCTCAAGTTTCATCTTCGGATAATGTACGAATTGGCTACTAAACATTCGAAGACTTCACTTAAGACGATTTCAAATATAAAGTCTGGCCTGAGTATTGGAGATTGAGGATCGCGGATTAAGCGGGATCTACAGAGAATTTAAGCTCTAAGAAATTGATCAATCACAGTCGATTATTCTCCTCACATTCGACTGGTGATTGGTCAATTTCTTAAGGCTCAGAACTTAAATTCTCATTGTAGGCCCCGATATATAGCAGTCTGTTCGATCTCCATGTCTGACACAAAAGTTTGATGAATTCGTACCCATATCAAGAGCTGCGCCATCGCCAGGTTCCCGGTCGCGCAAGCCAAGTGCAGCGGCGTTCGCAGATCTTCCGGCTCGTTGACCGGCATATTGATGTCCTCGTAGCTGCACCGAGTCAGACAGAACGTGAACACCCTCATGTTTCCTCTGTGGACACGGAACCTGATAGAATCTCGCCGGGTGGAAACACGAAGCGGAATTAACCTTTCGACTGTCGGGTGCTTTCCGACAGAGGGGAAGCAAGTCCGTTATCTTTTTACTACGCTTCTCATCAGCAGAACCACATCTTCAGGCATAAACGCTGGTGAAATGAGGCCTGTGATGAAGAGACGCTTGGATTCTAGGGTCTTTCTTAAGGTCGCTCAGAACTTTGGAGAATTTCCCAAAGTTATTCCACATCGCATTTATTAATCTGGATACACAATAGGTGTAGTGAGCGTTTAACTTTTCGCTCTAAGCAATAAAATATAACAATTTTACTTACTATATCGATTATAAATCCGGACTAAAGGCTTACTACACCTATTACGGGTCCGGCAATCGAGAGGTTAGTTCGCCGGTCGTTGAGGAGACTTTGAGGGTTCTTACCGACAGACCGAGTCGATGAGCAACTTCCCCAGGGGAACGTTCGGGTTAATCGGTGGTAAGAAGAGCTTGTCCTCGTACTTCCATCTGATCCACTGCTCCTTCTCCTCCCTGGACGAGTCCGAGACGGGTTTCTGCTTACCGTTCAAGCAGTACTCCCAGACGCTGTTGGCGATGTTATTGCCAAGAGCCAGCATGACGCTTAAGTGACCTGCGCTAAAAGTCGTCGTTGAAGATGTATCGTCAAGGATCAAGTGTCGCGCGTTGGTGAATGTTGACAAAGTTGACTAGGGATGTGTGATAGGACATGGAAGTATCGATATCATTAATGGTATCAGTATCGGTACAAAAATATTGATACCAGTATCACCAAAACAATCCCTACACGGGAGGACTCCTCGCGTTACACTTACGACCAGTCGTCCAGGTCCAAGGATCGGACCTTGGATATGTGTGAGCCTAGGTTCCTGTGGATGCCGGAGCACTCGATGCACATCAGGACGCCCAGGTTTAGGCTGGCCCAGTCGGGATCTGAACACAGGGAACGGAGTGAGATAGAATCGAAAGATGGAGAGAGAGAGAGACCAGACGTTGATCTACTCACTCGAAGCGCCGCAGTCGACACATGCGTCGTTCCCCGAGACCTTGTTCTTTATGCAGTGCATCTTGAAGGCGTCGGTTTCGTTTTTCTTGTCGCCGTCGCTGTTCTGCAGGCTCGACAGTATCTGCTGCTCAATCGCGCTGATCCAGCTGTCCCGGTCCTCGGCGTTGTTCGCCTCGAAATGCCACGTTTTGTTCTCCAGCGAGATAATGGAGAATTCGAAACTATCTTCTGAGAACAGATGTTTCGCGGTTAACGCGAATGTATGTTTATCTTAATTTCGTTTTAAATTAATATTTATTATTTAGATAATAGTGCAATAAATATATATAAGTAACTTTGCTTGATAATATTAAATGTATGAGCGGGCCCTTTAATAAACCCCTTTAAAAACACGGCACTGAGCCTCACGACTTTCTTAAATCGGTCGCTGCGAAAATCAACAACAGGTGGATATCAAACTCCTGTTTTAGCGGAATTTGAGCTTCCAGCAAGCAAATTGCTCTTTTGGAAAATTGGAGAACGTTTGACTATCCGGATAATTCCGTTAATAAGTCTATCCGGAACTATCCGTTAATAAGTCTGATGTAATAAAATAGTTTGAATAGCGGATAGATTACCTTGAGCGCTATACGACTTGGAGCCCTTCGGCGTTTTGCCAGGCACCTTCACCGTGACGTATTGCAAAAGTATCTCCTTACCGTTGGTGTCGTTCATGTAATCCTGAAAACGCTCTCTCCTGGTAAATTTATCACACTAACACGCGAACACAACGTTTGGTCTACAATTGTGCTCTTTGCGTCTTGTTTCTTGCTGTCTTTCTTCTGTTAGAACTTCTATTTACTTATCTTAGAAAAGATATAAAGAGCAAGAAACAAGAAGCAAAGAGCACACATTGTAGATCAGGCATTGAGAAACCTAAGGGAATAATTACATGCAAGCTCGAGTGATAAGTCAAACGGCCGTCTTCCAACAATGTGACGTATTTCTTCTTCCACTCTTTCAGAGACTTGCTGCTCCGTTTGAACAGGTAGCCTTGCTTCACCGGTATCTCCCTGCCAACGCCCATCTCGCCCATGTACTTCTCCTTCTTGGAAGGTGTGAATATGTTCGATTTTCTCCGGAACTTCCTGCGGGGAAAAATCGCACGAACGTTGGACGAACAAACCCACGGAAACATGAGGAAGGAAAAGAAAAAAATGTGTCCCGCACCTGATGGTAGTCGGAGTCAGGATCGACGTTCGCAGTTCACCGTGTTGGTTCTGCATATTGTGGAAATTGTCGTTCAGCAGTCCCGAATCGTTCGGCACGGAGCTGTTGTGAATGGACCGGCAGTCCTCATCTTTCTCCGAGGTCTGTTGAGCGGGGGGATTAATTCAGTTAAATCCTCGGTTATTTATTTTCGCGAGTCAGTAGCGAGACAACTCGGACAACTCACGTTCGCTTTCAACGAATTCGTGCTCTCCACCTCCTTGTTGTGAAGATGCACGGTCTTCGTGATAACGGGCACCGGAAACTTAATATCGCTCTCCGTGCTGTGCTGAGATACGTCGCACGGGAAGTGCCTCGTGGATGTGTTTTGTTGTATAATTTTTTGACACACTGAAATTGTCATTCGCGCGTTCATCGTAATCAGTGGCGAGTTCCGAGTTTCAAGCAATTATGCGCACGGATTATCGGATATTTTTAAGTGCGAGCGTTCGCTCGAGCACGAACATATATACATTCTTACCGTCTTGAAATACTCTCTCGACGTTTAAGCCGTAAATGGCGCACGTCTCGTAGTAAGGACACCTCAAGTCACAAGCCAATTTCCGCGGCTTAACGTCTTTTATGACACGTGGATTGCTGTCGTTGATTGAATCTACAAAGGTAAACAGAGGTTTCAGCGCAATGAGAGTGAGAGAGGGAGAAAAAAGAGAGACACAGCAGTTGATAAAACGTTTTAGAGGAAGAGAGAAAGGACATGTGTGTGTGTGTGTGTGTGTGTGCAAAAACGACAAGTACGCACCTTGTACACCTACAAGTATTTTTGGTACCTCCGACATATTCCGGAAGGAACACATTCTATTGTAGAAACCACAAACTACGGAGAAACTCTCTTCATTTTCTAAGCTGAATACAAGTAACAGAGCATCTATCCAAGCGGAGAACTGAAAGCAATGATGTATTCATTCGTACTTAATACAGTATGTTGACTGGCCAGAATGGTAGATCTGTTCGTTTTTGCTGAACTAATATATACATATGGAACTTAAAAAGAAACGGATATATAACTGAGATTGAAGGAAAAAGAAGAGAACTAATACAAGCTGATGCAACTAGTTCAGCAGAGAGGAAATGACCCAGGATTGTATTTTGAACTCTCTTTTATCGATAAAATATCAGATACTCAAATAGTTCCTGAGTCACTTTTAGAGATACTTTAAAATAAGAGAAAGTTCAAAATACAAGCATTAATATAATGCATAACTTGTTCCCATACCTGAGCTTCAGGCACACCACCTTCGTCTCTAATTAAAAGAAGATAACTCTGATCATTGATGAAGACCTCCTTCTTGAAGCGACCGCCTTCTGGCGACTCCTCGTGCATGAAGGAACCGGTAAGGTACCTGTGAACCAGTGCTGATTTGCCCGAGTCTGAGGAACCGATAATTCCCAGGTGTAATTCTGGGACGTCCCTCGCAAGCGTCCACTCATGACTGTTGACGAAGGAATCTGGAGGAATTCAAAGCTACATGTTTCAAGCAACGCTACAATAATGCTGACTTATCAGTAATCCGGTAGATAATCATATTTGGCCTGTCACACTTGGTCCATCTCACTTAATAATCTTAATACATTAACTTGGTATTACATGTGTCACAAATATTATTGCGTTGTTACATCGTGTAATTTTGTTGTCACTACGTGAACAGATGCCACCGAGGCACACGATGCGAAATCAGTGGGGGATTTACCTTCGATCGCCACGACGTGCTCGCGAATTTGCTTGGCGATGTGCGCGTCCGGCACGAGATCGATAAGATCGTAAATGGCGTATATTGACGGGTGAACGCTCTCGAAACGCTGTATTTCCTGCCTGATAGCGAGAGAATGATCGTGCCCGCTCTGGCCAGTTGTCATCGTTCCTCTTTCGATCGCGTGCGATTTCACCACGGGCGGGTTGATTACACAAGTGACATAGTTACGAGATCGCGCGTCGGCGAGCGGCAGGATCTCACGGATGAACTCGGCTGAACTCCACGCTCGTCACATAACATATGTCAAATTCGAATATTTATAAACATTATCGCACAGGAAATTGCGGTAGTTGGTTATGTGACACACCGTCGTATCGTTGATATTTCACTTCTCCTCGGGGCACCGTTCCATTCGTCGCGCATGACGAGGAACGTCCGACGTGCCGATTGGCTATCGACATAGAGAATTTCGGGGTAGTCACGGAAATTTTCTCGAGATTGAAAGTTCCAAGGACTCCGGAAATTCACTAGTGGTTGGCCAATCGGATGGCTGGACTTCCAGGTCACTAGGCATTTTCAGTTTGGTGTTCATAGTTCGCATTGTATATCTGACATTATATTAAGTTCATCTTCAGATGCTCCACGGCTCGTTTCATTGGCTACGAAGCATCTGAAGATAAAATTAAAACGGTCCTAGCGCAGTTTACAATGGATTGTAAGAATACGTTCATAAGATGTAAGAATAAGAAATTTACCAATTATATTCGAATGTAAGGAAAATAATCGATTATGATTGGTTAATTTCTTACTCTTCCTTCATATTAACATACTCCTACTGCCTATTGCAGGCCACGTTTAAATATGTCTGACTGAATGAATACCGGCCTTAAGTCCAGATCTACGGTAACTGTTCACTCGCAGGTTAAAAGGTGATAGCACGTCGTGTCCAGAAGCTTCCGCAGACCACATTTTTGTCGTGTGTACATTTTTTAAAATAATTTTTAACAAGCAAAAGGAGTGAACTGAGAAAAACGCGAGCGTTTTTAAAATTTGAGCTTGCAAGGTGAAGTTAAGACGTGGAGCAGCATATGAAGCCAATTTTACAAGCTTTTTGGATTCGATTGTTGGAAAAAGTGAAGGGAACCTCTTGAAACCATTTTGAGAGAGTGAGAGAAGGACGAAGTGAGGTTAAATTGAATCTGAAGAGACAGACGCAGAACAGAATGGAGCCAGGATCTGCAGAAAACATTCCAGAAAGTAATATTTTATATCATACGAGTTATTTTCTTCTTTCATGTCCATACAACGCTCATATTTTTACAATACGTAACTATATTAACTGTCGAATGATATCATAACATTACTCAATAACACATGAACATAATTTTGTTTAGCATCTGGCACAACTTTGGGCTTACAAATAGTATTCGACAAGAGCTTCTCGGTGCTAAAGGAGAAGGTGTGTGAACAAACATTGAAGGCAGTCCAGGATATGGGCTTCACAAATATGACGGAGATACAGGCGAAATCCATCCCACATCTTCTCGAGGGAAGAGATCTGGTAGGTTCGGCCAAAACTGGATCCGGCAAGACCCTGGCGTTCCTAATCCCCGTAATCGAGCTCATTTACAAATTGAAGTTTATGCCACGTAACGGTACGTAAAATTTACAATGTGAATCTCAACTTGAAAGTATCAAGAAGGTGTGCTTGTGTAACAAAATCACATCGACCGCTTATCATCCACTATCGATATCTGACTGTCGGTTGCAGGTACTGGGTGCATCATCATATCTCCCACGCGAGAATTGTCCATGCAGACGTTCGGAGTATTGAAGGAGCTCATGAAGTATCATCATCACACATATGGCCTGTTGATGGGCGGTGCCAGTAGGCAGACAGAGGCTCAGAAACTTGGCAAGGGTGTGAACATCATCGTGGCCACGCCGGGACGACTGTTGGATCACCTGCAGAACACCTTGGACTTCATGTACAAGAACCTGCAGTGTCTGGTCATTGACGAGACCGATCGGATCTTGGACATCGGTTTCGAGGAGGAGTTGAAGCAGATCATCAACATACTCCCGAGTTAGTAGTGTACGCGCTTAGATTATGGTATACATACACATACATCCAGTTTTCTCATGATAACATTCATTGCTTTTTACGCAGAACGCAGACAGACCATGCTCTTTAGCGCGACGCAGACAGAGAAAGTGACCATGTTGACAAAATTGGCCATCAAGAAGGAGCCTATATACGTCGGAGTGGACGACGACAAGGACCAGGCAACTGTGGAGGGCTTGGAGCAAGGCTACCTGGTATGTCCGAGCGACAAGCGGTTCCTGCTGCTCTTCACATTCCTGAAGAAGAACAGGAAGAAGAAGGTCATGGTGTTCTTCAGTTCCTGCATGTCCGTCAAGTACCATCACGAGCTTCTCAACTACATCGATCTGCCAGTGATGAGTATACACGTGAGTCTTCGGACTTTTTTTCGCCATATCGCGCTCTATTCGAGTCACCGCGTCCTCGTGGAGGTTTTCACGTAGATTGAGTATACGCATCTTGGTAACAGGGTAGACAGAAACAGGTGAAGAGAACCAACACATTCTACCAGTTCTGCAGAGCGGAATCCGGGATCCTGCTTTGCACCGACGTGGCCGCCAGGGGCTTAGACATACCCAACGTCGATTGGATCGTGCAATACGATCCGCCGGATGATCCTAAAGTAAGGATACTACACACAGAAAAATACGTACCGTATACAAGTAAATGTTATTTCACACACTGCTATCAAGAAAATACTTTTCATTGAAGATATCCATTACTCGTAGGAAGAAAAGTAAACTGAGCAATCGCTTTTCTTAGCAGTAGAATAATATTTTTTGTGCGTTTATTCGTTTATTTCGTCCCGCTCGACGCTGAGAAGAGACGAATGATCGAACGATAGACATGAACATTTGCGGTCGGTGAATATGAATTTATAGCGTGTCGAATTGCGGTTTTCAGGAATACATTCATCGTGTGGGAAGAACGGCTCGCGCGGGGAGCAAGGGTAACGCCTTGCTCCTCCTGCGGCCGGAGGAGCTCGGAATGATTTATTACTTGAAGAAAGCTCGCGTGCCGTTACGCGAATATGAGATCAGCAACAACAAGATTTCTGACATACAGTTGCAGGTATGCGCGATAAATGTATATTTTGCACATATCGCAATTCTCTTCTATCTGTCTCTCGCTTTTTCTTATCTCTTCTTCCGGCAATACCAAAATGAAAAAGAACAGATTAGAAGCGAGTGATTCATGCTGTCGCTCGCTTTAGTGGAGACCAAGATCGAAAAGCTGGTCTACGATTCTCTACCGGCTTAATTAACATTCACCTGCGCGCATTTATTCTCCCGGAACTGATAGAGGACGGTTGTTGCTTTATTTGTAGCTTGAAAAACTGATCTCGAGGAATTACTACTTGCACACGTCGGCGAAGGAAGCGTTCAAGGCGTACGTCAGAGCATACGATTCTCATCATCTGAAAAAGATCTTCGATATCGAGACTTTGGACCTGACAGCGGTCGCCAAGTCGTTTGGCTTCACCGTGCCGCCGGCTGTAGATTTGAGTACGTACTTGACGGCGGATTTAAAAGATCACGTCCGGTATATAATTAATCCCTCTCCCCTCCCTGAAAATTAATCATGAATCTTTAGCGTGAATTCATGAAAAAATATAAATTTTCTCTGAAAACATTTCACGTTTCCACTTCGGAGGAAAAGTTAAGTGTGATCGATACCCTGAAGATGAACTAGAGGCGATGTTAAACATAAGATCCAAGATTACGAATACCGTCCTGCATCTTTTTCTCGTGCATGCATATGCTTCCTATTAGATCTGTTCGTTTTAGCTGAACTAGATTGCATTTTTGCCCTTAAACTGAGACAAGTGTATAATCTAGCGTTGAAGGAAAAAGGAACGAAGTTCCTGTACTAATTCATCTAAAACGAACGGTACCAATGTACAAAAAGTACCTGTTGGTACCAATTTCAGCATGCGGATTTGAATCTTAAAACAGCGCGAACGCGCGCTACTCTTCGCTCCTCCTTTTTATTGACTCAAGCATGCCTTGCAGAAGTGGGAGTGAGCAAGGCGACGCGGCCACGAAAGCGGCTCGGCGGTGGCGGCTACGGCCACTTCAAGGACCTGAACGACCCGGGTGCCGCGAAACGCCTGCGCCGCACCAAGACCTATCAGCAGGTGGGCAAGCGCGCGGCGGGAGACAAGCGGCAATTCAGCAGATAACCACGTCGTCGGCGTGCACTTTTTAACACGCGTGAGTCGCGAGCGACTGCGTCGTCGCGGCGTACGGGAGCACCTCGGCACTTCCGGGGTGTCGAGATGCGCCGGTACACTTCGCTACATTTGTACGGTTTTCGTTTACAGTTGCAGAGCGGAAATACATGTTAGTGTCGTTGAAGTAGCCTTAGTTCTTGACGCCACTCGCGCTCTCCAGTCGTCCCGCCAATTTTCCTTCCTACGTTCTCCGTAAACGTTTCCGTCCCGCTGCATTTCTCAACATACTATATATATGTGTGTGTATGCATATATATATATATATATATACACATCACATATATATATATATATGGTCTGTTCTTTTTAGCTGCACTTCTGATATGGTGCAGTAAGTTAGAGCGAGATAAAATATACTTATCTCACTCTAACTTGTAGCCCCGAGGAGCGCAGCTAAAATGAACGGATCAATAATCTGTGCGGAAAGAGTGTATCTTCTATATCGGACACATGATTGGTCAATTTCTTTCTGCATATGCATTATGCAACTATGCAAATTAGTCCGGACAGGATTTGGATGTTAATAGTACTGATTAAATGTAAAATTAACACTCAGTAAGTACCACAAAATTAGTACTTCCTACAGTAGTGAACGGGAAACAACGCTGATATAGGTCGGGGTGTTCGAGGAACGCACTATTAGCTCTAATCAGCGCTAACGAATCACTCTATCCTTATCGTATATCTAGTGAGGGGCAAAGATGAAATGAAACGTTAACGCTGATACGTGCTCCCCCGAACGCAGCTGTAGTAAAGTTACCTTATCAGAAGATTTTATTTGCCCGTTACTTGAAATAAAATAATCAGTGAAACGTGTATAAATATGTACGAGCAAGAAAATATAGAACGGAAAATATAAAAAAGATGTGTAATAAAGTATCCTTATTACTTGAGGCGGGTTCTATTTGACGCAAGCGTCGCTCTGTCTTTGTTCGACATCCAATGAGAAAGAGAGATAGAACGACGCTGGCGTCGTTGCGACTGTTAAGTGGAACCCGCCATTGACGGTACTCTATCCTAACCTCCATAGGCATGGTCGCATATGTAAATAGAACGTGAATAGTGATTCAAAGTGTACTTGAAATTGAGTGATACATGCACTCACAATTATATTCCTAAAGGATTTTCAACGGGTTAGTAAGATACTTATAAGGAAGGTTGGACGAATTAATTTGTCGAATACTCGACATTCGTCCCAGTTTGTACCTCGGCGTTTACAGATGTGAAGGCACTACCAGCGATTTGTGAGGTAAATTAATAGAACGTAGTAAGATAGAAATGTCGAAGAGACAAATTATCCTTCACATTAATTATCTGAGGGAACTATTATCAAAATTATCATCTACGTGATATTTGTGTATTTTTGAGTGATTTTCTTTTTTTTACACAGAGGCAAACGTAACGTCAAAAGTCCATTGATGCCGATATTCGTAAGAGATGTATGCCGTTTGAAGAGATACTATTGTATCTCATAAATATACGTGTACATATATAAGAAAATTATACATTGTCACTTAAGGTGTGTTTATACCGTGTCATAACATATATATATATATATACCGTATATATAACATATGTGTGTATGTAAGTAGCTAGTATCCTGCTATAAAACAGATTTCACATCTCAGCATTATCCGAAATATCCAGGATGTCGTAGAAAGAACATCTTGAGCACATCCGGGATGATCTTTAGGCATTGTAAGCTATCAGGGAAACTTATTCCTACATCTCTAATTTTCCACAGGTCTCGCCAAATGATGATCGTTGATTTAAGGTATGCATGCACGAACCGTTACAAGAAGGTTATCGAGCACTAAGACTATGCAAAAGTTTTGAAACCATCGAAAAGAAATGTTAATACAATGAGGAGAAAGTCCCTGTGCTAACTTGATAGATTACAAAAACAAGAAATGGCTTCTATGCTACGCGACATGATATACACATGTCCGAACTGCAACATAGACTTAATGATCATAATAAACAACAATCTCGAAGATAAAAATTATTCATTCAAGATCTCGCTAGCTGCTGTACACAAACTGGAGTCGTCGATGGAAGAGGTGGACACGGAAATACCTAAGAATACATTAGATTTAGATAATGCCTACGTGCAGAAGTCAAGTACAACAGACGATGAAACGAGAACATCGTGCATCGTCGCGAGCGAAAGTACCAATGAAAAATACGAAAGCTCGCTACACTTGGAGGATGATGACAACGACTGTCTAAGTGCTTATATCACATTTCCAAATAGAGAAGTTTCATATCAAACGAGCAAAGATACGAGGAAAAGGTGTCAGGAAAGTGTCACTCCGCCCCCGGATAATCCTAGCAAGTTGCAGAAACTGGAAACAGATGTGAACGTAACGCCAAGCAGGTCTCCGAAGTCGTGCAAACTCGACGCCGAACTGCTGAATTCTGATTACGACGGTTCCGATAATTTGATAAGAGTAAAATACGTGAGCGGCAACGTGAAGAGCGTGGTAAATATCAAGACGGTGGACGACGACGGGAATAATTTCATGGAGATCGTGTCGGTGAAGGACATCGTAGAGCACGGCGAGACGGACGGCAAAGAGGAATACGACGGTGCGGAGTACGCGACTGAAACGGAGGAGAAACTCGCCGACGAGTATTCAGTGAAGTGCGAGAACGTCAACAACAAGAGATGCCCGAGGATCGAGTGCAACCTGTGCGGGATACGTTATCTCTCGCAGATGAAGTACGAGTTTCACATGGAGAGGCACAAGCTGGACAAGATGGACAGGTTCGTCTGCACGATATGCGACAAGGAGGCGAGCACTGAGAACTTGCTGTGGGACCACTATTTCTACACGCACAAGAGCTTCGTGCGATACGTATGCGCGAAGTGCAACAAGTCGTTCGCGAGGAAGGCGAGACTGAACACCCATCAGAAGAGATACAAGCATTCCGGCAGCAAGGAGCTCTACTGCACCCCGGACATGACGAGCGTCGATGACCAGTCAGGGCGGGAACTCGGCAACTGCAGCATCTGCGGGAATCCGGTGACCGACCTAAACCCGAAGGCTATCAACGACCTGGTGACGTGCGCCGCCTGCGAGGACTCCGCCTTGTCGCTGATGGTCGACGGTGCTCAGATGAAGACGATCACGCCGCGGCAGTATCACTGCACCCAGTGTCCCAAGCACTTCGTGCACAAGGAGCGGCTGGAGTTCCACGAGATGCGGCACAACGAGAACATGAACGAGTTCGTCTGCAGCACCTGCGGCAAGGAGTTCAGGACGGAGAATTCCCTGTACGAGCACTACCTGTACGTGCACAAGGGCGCGAGGCCGCACATCTGCGAGCTCTGCGGCAAGTCGTTTCAGCTGAAGATGCGGCTGAAGGAGCACCTTCGCTTGCACACCGGCGAGAAGCCGTATCAGTGCGACGTGTGCGGCCAGCGCATCAACGCCATCAGCTCGCTGAAGCGTCACAGGAAGACCCATTTCTCCCACAGCCGCCACCATTGCAAGATATGCGGCAAGTCGTTCACCAAGATGCAGAACATGAATAGGCACCTGGAGAGGCACTGGAAGCTCGACAAGAACGTCTCGCTGCCGCACGTCTTCTCGTGCCCCCTGTGCGGTGAGATCCTGCCGACCTACCGTATGCTGAGGTCCCACATGGTGCAGACTCATCAGATCGACGTCCAGGACCCGCTGCTGACTAAGCAGAAGCCGTGGTACGAATGTAACGAGTGCGACGAGAAGTTCAAGCATCAGATGTCTCTGAAGGCGCACAAGGAGAAGGTGCACGAGGGCAAGGTCAGGCCGACGTACGAGTGCGACATATGTAAGAGCACGTACAGGATAAAGCAGAAGCTGGTTAATCACATAAGGATCAAGCACAACGGCGAGAAGCGCTACAAGTGCGCCCAGTGCCATCAAGGATTCAACTACACCAAGACCCTGTATAATCACGTTCTGCTTCATACCGGAAGGAAGCCGTTTTACTGCAGGTATTGCAACAAGAGCTTCCGACGGAAGGAGTCCCGGGACCGTCACCATCTCAACCACACGGAGGAACGACACTCCCAGGACTCGGACTCGGGCCAGAAGGTCTCATCCACCAGGAACATTTGCGAGAAACGCCCCAAGGAGCCAGACGAGGGCGAGATCTGGTGTTCAGAATGCGGTGAAATTTGTAACAATCAGCAAGAGGTCAGAATGCACCTGAACAAACACCTAGGCGAAAAGCTGAACAAGCTGCAGGGCGTATAGTGTTCGACCCATATTGCATGGGTCAAAAGAGAACTTTGTGAAATCACGTTAGATTTTGTGAAGGGTTAGTACTTGCGAGATATGATATAGTACTCAAAGATTCTGCATGCCGCAGACGGTCGCTCGAACTAAATAGATTAAGTGACTTTGCATTGTTTTTGACGAAACGATAATATTTTTAATACGTAATTACACTCACTTTCCTGTCGTATCTTATTATAGTGTTTGATCTTGTGTAAATATACACGTCTCCTCTGTGAAATAATTGTGAATATAAATATTGTTACACACGCACACACACACACACATATCCACGCGCATATGTGTGTGTTGTATGTCATATGCACATACACATTATATCATCCTGATTAAATTCCGAGACGTTTTATCCTGCAAAACTGTGCTCGAAGATCACTTCTTAAGTTATTTATTAACAGAAATATTTATCACGCGTCGGGTATAGGAGGTTTCACTCGTTTCGAGAGATTCTATTTATTACAAGGTAAACTGCAACGTGTAGCTACATAATGAGTATGAATATTACATTAATTTGCTTAGAGATTTTCTCATTAGACATTTACTTCTTATATTTCATTATTATAAACAGATAAGAATATATATTATGATTTAATCTTATTGAACTAAAGCTAAGATTTGAACTAAAATCTATATCAATGCTTCAAATTGTATCACTTGGCAGAAAATATGACTGATTAATTAGGTCTGTTCGTTTTCGGTGCACTACGGTACTGGTGCAATAAATTAGAGTGAGACAAGTATATCTTGGCTAACTTCATACACCATTTCAGCAGTGCAGCTAAAAAGAACGGACCTTCTGTGTGTTTTTCGGTAAGGAACTCATGGCGATTTGTTAACTACACATTATTTTGGAAGATAACTTAGATAATACATAGCCAATAAAATAACTTTGTTTACACATATTACACTGTGTTCCTTGCACCTCCTTATTTCTGGGAACTCTAGGGGACAGTTTCTCGATACGCCCTCTGAGACAATCATGTAATCTTATGTCAAGTCAGATAAGGAACGACGATCGTCAGAGGGCGTATCGAAAAACAGTTTCCTGGAAAACGCCAGGATGGCCACTCTCTCAAGCTTCACGTTCCTGTAGATTCGCAGTACTTGCAGTGAATATTGGAATGCATATCTCTTGAACTGATGCATGTAGGAACAAAAAACACACGTTTAATCATAAGTATTCGAAGTTACGTTCCTACGAAGATTTCTGTGAGTATGTGAAACTTAGAAGGAAGGCTCGACAATTTAATTTATCGTAAACAAGTACCGTATATTTATTCCAGTTTGTACTTCGGCGCTTACAGATATGGAGGTATTGCCAACGATTTATTAAGTAAATTATTGAATGCAGTGAGATATAAATATCGAGGAAATAAATTATCTTTCGTATTAATTGTTAGAGGGAATCATAACCTCAATTATTATGTGAATAAAATTTGGATATTTCTAAATAATTTTGAATTTTTTTATATATAGGCAAACATAACCTCAACAGTCCATTGATGCCAATATTCGAAAGAGATGTGTTTATACGAGAAGTGATTCTTATATCTCGTATAAATATTAAAAAAAAAAATGAATAATTGACACATTGTCAATTGAGGTATGTTAATGCTGTATATAATATGAGTAGTATTTTGCTATAAAATAACTTGGTGCACAAGATTTCTCGTATATCTCAGTATTATCCCAAATATCCAGGATGTTGTTCTTTGCTCAAGAGAATATACAAGAACATCTTGAGCATGTTCAGGATGATCCTAGATATTGTACATTACTGGGAGAACTTACTACTACATCTCTAACTTTATACAGGTCTTGCTACGAGCAATGGTCATTTGAGATATATATTATTGAACTGTTACAAGAAGATTATCAAGCGCTTGGATCCTACGCAAAATATCTTGGAACTGTCGGAGGAAAGCTTCGATACAAGAAGCAACTCCTTGTGTGAACTTAACAGAAGCAAAAAAATAGACGTGTCTCCTAAACTATACAAGATGATATACACGTGTCCAAATTGCAATATAGATCTAATGATCATGATAACCAACAATTTTGAAGATAACAATTATACGTTTCAAATCTCATTAGCTTCCTTAGATAAAACTGAGCAATCAATGGAAGAAGACACGCAAGCACCTGAAAATACGATAGATCATGACAACATCTGTGAGCTGAAGGCAAGTGTAATAGATGAAGAAAACGATGAAATGATGTCACCAAGCATTGTCGTAAACGAAAGTATCAGTGAAGTATACAAGACCTCGCTAGCCACACAAGAAGATGACAACTGCCTGGACGCCTTCATTACATTTCCAAACAAAAAACGCCGGACAAGTGAAGATGCAGAGAAAGATCAGGAAAATATTATTTTTGCGATAGATAACGACTCTGACAAATTGCAGGAACTAAAAGTAGATGCGACAGCGTGCAAACCCGACGACGATTCGTTGAATTCTGATCACGATGGTGCAGGAAATTTAGTAAAAATCGAATCGGTAAGCGCCAGCGCGAGTAACTTGACGAACGAAGTCGAGACAGGGAACGAGGACGACGCGAATGGTATGATGGAAATCATGTCGGCGAATGACGTCATGGAGTGCACACTTGACGAGGAGATGGACTGCAAGGAGAACGACAGTACGGTATACGTGACTGAGACGGAGAGAGATGGTGTCGATGACGATTTCGGGAAATGCGAGAATGCCTATATCAAAAGATGCCCGAGGATCGAGTGCAAGTTGTGCGGGACGCGTTACCTCTCGCGGGAGAAGTACGAGTTTCACATGGAGCGGCACAAGCTGAATAAGACGGACAGGTTCATCTGCACGATATGCGACAAGGAAGCGAGCAACGAGAGCCTGCTGTGGGACCACTATTTCCACACGCACAAGAGCTCCGTGCGGCACGTTTGCGCGATATGCGACAAGGTGTTCGCGAGGAAGGCGAGACTGAACACCCATCAGAAGAAGTGCAAGCATTCCGGCAGCAGAGAATTGTACTGCGGCCCGGACACGGACGAGACGAGCGTCGGTCGGAATGTCGATTTGAAGCAGGCACCGGTGAATTGCAGCCTCTGCAGGAACACGATAACAGACATAAATCCGAAGGCCATCAACGACCTGGTGACTTGCGCCGCCTGTGAGGACTCCGCTTTGTCGCTGATGGTCAACGGTATCGACATGAAGATGATCTCGCCGCGGCAGTACCACTGTTCCCAGTGTCCGAAGCACTTCGTGCACAAGGAGCGGCTGGAGTTCCACGAGATGCGGCACAACGAGAACATGAACGAGTTCGTCTGCAGCACCTGCGGCAAAGAGTTCAGAGCGGAGAATTCCCTGTACGAGCACTACCTGTTCGTGCACAAGGGCGCGAGGCCGCACATCTGCGAGCTCTGCGGCAAGTCGTTTCAGCTGAAGGTGCGGCTGAAGGAGCATCTTCGCACGCACACCGGCGAGAAGCCGTATCAGTGCGACGTGTGCGGCCAGCGCTGCATGACCACCAACGCGCTCAGGCTGCACAGGAAGACGCATTTCTCCAACAATCGCTACACCTGCATGCTGTGCGACAAGTCGTTCAGCAAGAAGCAGAATATGAACGAGCACCTGGAGAAACACTGGAAGAACAACAAGAACGTGCTGCTGCCACAGGTCTTCACCTGTCCCCTGTGCGCGGAGGACCTGCCTACCTACCGTATGCTGAAGTACCACATGATGCAGATTCACGAGATCCACCACCAGGACCCGCTGCTGACCGAGCAGAAGCCGTGGCACGAGTGCAACGTCTGTCACGAGAAGTTCAAGCATCAGATGTCACTGAAGGCGCACAAGGAGCGGGTGCACGAGGGCAGGGTCAGTCCGATATTCGAGTGCGACATCTGCAAGGCCTCGTACAAGATCAAGCAGATGCTGATCAACCACATCAGGAGCAAGCACGAGGGCGAGAAGCGCTACAAATGCGCGCAGTGCCACAAAGGATTCAACGACACCAACTCCCTGTACAATCACATTCTGCTGCACACCGGGAGAAAGCCGTTCCAGTGTGACCTCTGTAATATGAGCTTTCGACGTAAGGAAACGCGGGATCGTCATCGTCGCAAGCACACGGACGAACAGCCCGCCCAGGACTCGGACTGCGGCCAGACGATTACCGTCGACAACAGTCGCGCGAAGCGGCGCAAGAAGGTACGCAGCGAGGTCAAGGCCGAGTGCGAAAAGTGTCCCGATTGCGGTGAGAAGTGCAGCAGCCAGCAGGAGATCAGAATGCACTTGAACAAACACCTGGGTGAAAAGCTGAACAATCTGCAGTGCATGTAGCAATGCATGTAGCAATGCATCGCATCGGATGGGGATTTGCAACTCGTTATCGCGAAGTCTGCGCGAAATTGTAAAAAATTAATGAGGAATTAGTACTTGCGAAATACGATGGTGCTTGATTATATCGCACATTCAACGGGAGTCTTTTGAACTAAGTAGATTAAGTGATTTTACGTTATTTTTTTCGCGAAACGCGGTCGACGACGATTCCTTTAATGTAACATGCGACGTAGTTAATTCCATTTCCCCATCGTATTTATCGTTCTTGCGACACCTCTGTGAAATAACTGTGTAAACGTAAATATGTTTAATACACACACGCGCGCGCGCGCGCGTGTGTGTGTGTGTGTGGAATCAGTAAGTAATCATGCATTTGATGAAATTTTATCGTTTTACTGATGTAATACGATACTTTACTTAGAACGTAAGATATCCCATTTATGGGTCGAGTTTCCCAATTTTGCGGCAAATTTAGTTTATTAATGTATTAAAGAAGTACACATTATACTGAAAAATAATTATAATTAAATAAAATTATAATGAAAAATAATTATAATTAAATAAAATTATAATGAAAAATAAACATATATTTTTTTTATATTCTTTAGTTCATTTTTACAATTATCGTAAAATTACACTCAGAAACATTGTAGATATTTAAGAAAACAACGTAGAATTTATTTACTTACCTACTGCATATTACATAAAATTTATATTTCTTAAGAAATTTCACATATACTTAATGCGTACTTTTTTCTCTTGACCCAGAATTGGATATCGCATGACTTGTTATTGGGACGTAATGTAATTTACTGACACATGATTAGGACTTATACATTTCTAATTATTGTTTTTTTTTTATTTAGAATCGATTGACTTTA